CTTCTAACCGGTTCGGTAGATTTGACGAACCGGTTCTACCGAATAGGTGCGAACTGGTAGGAACCCACCTCTGGTTGGACTAGAAGCCCTCCGAGGTCCCTTCCAACTCTATTCTATGTTCTATCTTCTCATTTTCTCTCCCTTCCAGGAAGCAGATTGATGTAGCCATCAAAATCCTAAAAGAGGGCAACGGAGTGGTACAGCAGGACGAAATGATGAAGGAAGCCCAGATTATGCACCACCTTGACAATCCTTACATTGTCCGCCTTATTGGAGTGTGTCATGCGGAATCCCTCATGCTGGTGATGGAGATGGCATCAGGTGGCCCCCTGCACAAGTTCTTGTCTTCCAAGAAGTGAGTTGATGCCATCGCATCGTGCAAGAAATTTATACCTTTCCAGAACCATTGATGACCCATCAGTTCAGTGTCGCTGAGATAATCACAGTCATATATTCTGGAAGGGGTCTTTGATGTCAGCTACTCCACCTTTCAGCTCAGTGGGTTGGGAGAGGACCTAGGAGCAGGGGTGGGTTCCGGCTTCTTCTACTGCTGGTTCCCTCAGGGATGCATGTTGGGTGTGCTTGATGCACATGTGCAGAAGTAAAAAAATGCTTCTGCGAATGTCCAGAAGCAAAAAACAAGATGACGGCGCCTATGGCACTGGCAATAGAACTGGTTCAGGTGCATGTCTGGCCAAGTTACTACCTACTCGTCCAAACTGGTCCAAACCGATAGGAACCCACTTCTGCCTGGCAGATTCTGACAGTGAGGAGGCTGGGGAGGAACATGGGTCAGGCCATGAGTCGGGGGGGAGGCTCTGATGAGGGCTCTGCGTCAGAGGCAGAGATGGGGCCAGGGCTGTCTGACAGTTATCAGCTGCCTTTGGAGTCAGACATCAGTGGGGCAGAAGAACAGCTGGAGCCTGTTCCCTGTGCGCATGCGCAGAGCTGCCAGGAGAAGGGAACAGCTAAGGAAACAAGGGTTGACTCGGGAGTAGAAGCACGGTGGATGGTGAATGGCCCCTCCCATAGGGAATAAAGAGGAGGGGAAGGGGAGTGGAGTTTGCAGGAGGCAATAAGTTCAATTTATTAGGGTGAAAATCTGTTCCTGACTTCTTGCCAACTAATTGCTGCTACAGCACGGTGTTTGGAAGATATCAGCCTGGCAGCTCTCCAAGACAAAGATCTGCAGTTGTGAAATATCTTGAAAGACTGTTGGCCAGGACTTTGCTGGAGAGGAATTCCATTTAACCTAAATAAAAGGGGATGAGGAGTCGGCTTAATGCTTTTGGGAAGGCTAGGTCAGAACAGGATGTTGCAACGGTCAATATGTGAAAAGCAGTCATAACTCACTTTTTTTCAGTGCCAATGCAGCTTTGAACAGTCACTAAACGAATGGTTGTAAGTCAAAGACAACCTGCAATAAGGAAGTGAGTGAGGGCAGGGTTATGTGGTGCTTGTAAGATAAACCTTCCATTATTATCTGGAATTCTCCAAATGTATTTGGTCTACAAATCCTAGAAAATAGCAAGTAGTCAAGTGGAGAGGTGAAGTCCCAGTCCATAAGGAGCAAATCAAGTAGAGGTGGTCCTTGACTTACAATCACAACTGACCCCAAAATTTCTCTTGGTGAGACGGTTGTTAATTGAACTTTGACCCATTTTACAACCTGTCTTGCCAGAGTTGTTAAGTGAATCACTGCAGTTGTTAAGTTAGAAGCATGATTCTTAAGTGAATCTGGCTTCTCCATTGAGTTTGCTCGTCAGAAGGTCACTCAAAGGGAATCACATGACCCCCCTGCCCCGAGACATGGCCACTGACACGAGTGCCTGAATTTTGATCACGTGACCCTGGGGATGCGGCAACTGTAGTAAGTGTGAAAAAAACGATTCTACGCCCCTTTTTTCAGTGCTTTCCCAGCTTCAAACGGTCACTAAACGAACTGTTGTAAATCGAGGACCAACTGTAAGGGAAAGCACGGTTGTGAGATTTTCTCTCTCTTCGTTTTCCCTTAGGGATGAAGTTCCTGTGAATAACGTGGTCGAACTGATGCATCAGGTGTCCATTGGAATGAAGTATCTGGAAGAAAAGAATTTCGTCCACAGGGACTTGGCTGCCCGAAATGTGTTGCTTGTCAACCAGCATTATGCCAAGATCAGCGATTTTGGGCTTTCCAAAGCTTTGGCAGCTGATGACAGTTATTACTTGGTGAGCAAGAAGACAAGGCGGGAAATCAATCCTGCTGTCATTTCAGAGGGACCCTTGAAGGAGAATATTTGTAGCTCAGGGTTGGCATGAGGGGTCCTTGGTGCTCTCTAAGCTTGCTTGTTTTCTTGCAGACGTTTCTATTAATTTTAGGGTTTCCCCCCTATTTTTTCTTCTAGTTTTTTCCCCCAAAAGTTTTTTTCCCCTTTCAAATTCATTCATAGATATACATTCTTATAATTGCTATTTAACATTTGTCTACTCATCCTTAATCTCTATACTCTCTCTCTCCTCCCCCCCTCTCTCTCCCTCTCTCTCTTTCCCCCCCTCTCTCTCCCTCTTTCTCTCTCTCTCTCTCCCTCTCTCTCTCTCCCCCTCCCTCCCTCCTTCCAGTTTGGATCACTTTATTGCCACCCCATGCCTCCATCTTATTTTGCAACAACCTTACTCCTTCTATTTTCTCAACCTCCCTTCTCTGCTGTCTTCTTTCTTCCTCTCTTTCCTCCCTTCTTCTTCCCCTCTATAGCAATAGCAATAGTTTTGCATCTTGGAGCGAAGGGAAAGGACGCGACAAGAGGGTATGCAAAACAGCAACCTTTATTTAGAGCA